TATGATATATCCATATGTAATGATTATATGATATATCCATATTTAATGACTATATGATTTACCCATATATGATGATTATATGATATATCCGTATATAATGGTTATATGGTATATCCATATATATTGATTATATGATATATCCATATATAGTGATTAAATGATACATCAATATATCATGATTATACGATATATCCATATATAATGATTATATGATATATCCACTTATAATGATTTTATGATATATCCATATGTAATGATTATATGATATATCCATATTTAATGATTATATGATATACCCAAATATATTGATTATATGGTATATCCATATATAATGATTATATGATATATCCATATATAATGATTTTATGATATATCCATATAAAATGATTATATGATATATCCACATATATATATAAATTTTGATTATATGAAATATCCATATTTAATGACTATATGATTTATCCATATATTTCATGATTATATGATATATCCATATATAATGGTTATATGATTTATCCATATATAATGATTATATGATATATCCATATATAATGATTATTTGATATCTATATATGTATATAATAATAATGATATTTATATATATATATGGTATAATGATTATATTCCATTATTATATGGATATACCATTCTATGATTTTGCATGGTGAAACCCGTGGTGAGCACTACATAGCGAAGAATGGCGAAAGTTGTAGCTAAAATTACCGGGACCAAACATGGTGATTTTGCAAAGCCATCCTGAATTACTGGAAGGCATCCCTTTTTGGTGCGATCGATATCTCAAAAGCTTTTGACACGAGTCGTAAATGGTGTCTCTTTTTTTGGGGGTTGCAATCCAGCTACAAATCGATAACACATGAAAACACCATGTTCAGGCACCTATTGATCCCCAACGACGATTCCTGGAATGATGTTGCAAGTAGGTGGACCACTTGCTGTAATCGTTGATTGTTGGGTGTCTTCATTTTATGGTTGTTTGTAATCCAGTGTTTCTTTTTAGAGATTTTTTGGTCCTTCTTTGTTTCTTTTGTTTCTTTGGGTTTACTCACGTGACCTTACTTTCAAGTACTCTTAAGGTTTTTTTCTGATTTAATCTCTGACTTTCAATCCTTTTCTATTATACAAGTAATAAACCCCATATGCTCCATGGTGCTGGAATATTTACCATCATTTACCCCATAAATGGCCCAAATGTAGGTAAATATACCATACATGGAGCATATGGGAGCAGGCCCCAAGTTTTAAACAGAAGCCGATTGAATTATGTTGAAATCGTCGTTGAAATCCACCGTCAGGTTCGGTGTGTTGGAAGAGTCCGGTTCGCTAATTGCGGTCAACGTCGCTTGGCCGCGCAGGGGATGTCGATAAAAAGTTGGGACCCACATGTTGGGTCAATTCGTTCCCCCCTGGAAATCAATCATAAACTCCACAATTTCTGGGAAGCCTTCCATTTGAGCGGACCCAGTGAAACACTACGAGATTTTAAAGGTTGCACTCTCCTCACATCACAGATTTTCAAGAGGTACACTATGGTACACTTACCTCACACATGGACTGCTTCCGACTTCCGACAGGTTTGGCGCATTAGCATCCCAAGGACGGGGACACATGAAATCTGAGTTTCCCTTGAGTCCACTGTTCGAATTTCCTGGTGATCCCCAAAATGGGGCAGGAAATTTATGGAGGAAGAGGTGATGGATGAGGACAGCTCAGAGGCGCAAAGTCCAGTAACAACTGGGGGAAAACCCTGAGAAAGGCTACTTGCAAGGCCGTTAGTTGAATATACTTTAATAGTGTGCTATAAACGGGGACGCAATGAAACATGTAATGAAATACACACACAGAGTCACATATATATATATATATATTATAATAACTATATATATATATACATACACATTAATATTCTAAGCTGCAAAAAATATCATCGGATGGGTCTACTGTGGATGTTTGTCTCCGGGTTCGCCGAGCTGAACAAGGAAATGATGGGTTGTTCAAGCCGCACTATGTCACTATGGTAGGGAGGAATTCAAATGTTATTCCAGTGTGGTTTGATATGCTTTCTCTGAACATGTTTTGAGTGTAATGTGGGTAAAACAAAAAAATAAAGAATCCCCTAAATCACCATAAATAGGTGGTATAAACTATTTACAGATGGATGGTTTATTAATGTTTGACCCTATCAAGTCATTTTCAGACACATGCTTAAATATCACAATGAGAGGTTATATCCTATGACAACCATCCAGGCGAGGTGACGTTGACTCTGCCTGGTTATGTCCTTGAAGCCACCAGGTATTTCCAGGGGTTTCCATAAGTGCAAAAATCCCCAAAATGGATCAAAATGGTTGGCTTATAATATCAAAACGGATGATTTCGGGGTACCCCCATGACTTAGGAAACCACCAATGCAGGGAAAAAACACACTTTTTTTTTTTAAAGTGAGGTCAGCCAAATCTCGTCAAAAAGAAAGAAACCATGTTCAATTCCCTGCCTGGCGATCCGAAGATCCAGTCACACGACCTGCGCAGGTTTTGTTTCACCCAGCTGGGTGATTGGGGATTACTACCCATGACAGGGAATAACTATTAACCATTATTAACCATTATTAACCATTATTAACCATTATTAACCAACAAGTATTTTCATCTTTGAATGGGCATGTCAGCAACTCTATATCACCTACCAGGCAGATCTACGAAAGCCATACAGCCTTGAATATGAACCCGAAGCCCCTAGTGGAATTCGTGTATTGGGCTTGGGAAATTTGGGAAGCAAATTCCTGGTGTGTTTGTTGGGTTGCAATGCCAGTTGGTCAGTGGCAACATGTGGCAACTATCGCTAATTGGTACCTTTCTTCTGGCTGATCTCAAAGTTATCTCATTTGCAAGCACTGCATGCCATTGTGTGATCCCCAAACAGAAAGACATCCAAAAACATGCAAAGACCTAGAAGAAGCTAGTACAAACATCCATGTCATGAACGTTCTTGTTTGTTAGAACCAGAAAATTCATGGCATGGCATGGCACGCTAGTGCAACCTGCCAACACGGCTGGAGGATGCTTCTCCTGCGCAGCCAACGATCGTCCAAGCAGATTTCAAGGTGAGAAATTTTGCGACTGATGCAACCAATGGAAAATCGCAATTTTCAATTGGTAAATCCACTATTTCTATGGGCATTTTCAATAGCTATGTTAAATTACCAGAGGGTAATAGGAATATTTATCCCAAATGAATAGCTGGTACCAACGAAAGCGGGGGAGAACTAATCTGGTTGGTGGTTTCAAAGGGGAGATCATTGGAAAATACCATAGATATATCCCCTATATACCATAGCTGGTTGGTGGTTTCAAACATGACTTTTATTCCCCACCTGCCAGGTGAGGGTTGTTAGATTTTATCAGAGTTGTTCTCCTCCTCTGCTAGCTGTCCTCCTCCTCCTCCTCGTCCTCGTCCTCGTCCTCCTCCTCCTCCAGTTTCTCCTCGGCCATGTCTGCATCAACTTCCATCTGCACTTCCGCCTTGCCAATTCTTGGCCAAGCTCTTTGCCAACTCTCTTCGCCAAGCTCTTTGCCAACTTCCCAGCTCAGCGTGCACCGCTGGACCTCACCCTGGGACCTTCCCAGCTCAGTGTGCACCGCTGGACCTCAACCTGGGACCTGCCCAGCTCAGTGTGCACCGCTGGACCTCAACCTGGGACCTTCCCAGCTCAGTGTGCACCGCTGGACCTCAACCTGGGACCTGCCCAGCTCAGTGTGCACCGCTGGACCTCAACGGCCAGATAGAATGACAGAAGATATGTCAGAACATATGCTAGATAGAATGCCAGAAGGTATGTCAGAATATATGCCAGAAGATATGCCAGAAGATTTGCCAGATAGAATGCCATGAGATGTGCCAGATAGAATGCTAGATAGAATGCCAGAAGATATGCCAGAACATATGCCAGAAGATATGCCAGATAGAATGCCAGATAGAATGCCAGAAGATGTGCCAGGTAGAATGCCAGAAGATATGCCAGATAGAATGCCAGATAGAATGCCAGAAGATATGCCAGAACATATGCCAGAAGATTTGCCAGATAGAATGCCAGAAGATATGCCAGATAGAATGCCTGATAGAATGCCAGAAGATATATCAGATAGAATGCCAGAAGATTTGCCAGTAACATAGTCTATAAATGTCATGGTGGGGATCACACGAAGTAAAGTAATTTTCCATTTCAGATATGGGATGTCATCCTTCCCATTGACGACCTCCATCATTTTTCAAGATGGGCACATTGCACCACCAACCAGTAATCAATGTGATAAACCCGTCTGGCCATGTTTACCATCCCCAAGTCATGACCATAAATGGCTAGGATTGAAACCATTCCCAAATGGTTACTTTACTAGTGGGTTTCCCACAACACTTGGGAGTGGCAAAAGGATAAAATCGATACGACAGAAACCACAAACGAAGCCTCAGAAAAGGTGGTCACATAGACTGCGCCAGCACGGGGACATCTAGCCAGCAGAATTGGCATATCACCCACAGATTTAGACTTGCAGATAGTGGATCGTTGAGTTGCTGTGAAGTGTTACTTCGTGTTTGTTTGATCATTCATCCCAAGAATAAAACGAAAGATTTTAAGGACATCTTGGCAAATGAACAACTAACCCGGCACGGCGGCACGGCCGGGTTCGAACGGGTTCGGTAGATGATCTGTTCGATATCACCCTTGTGGAATTCCAGGCCTCAAGTTTACTGGTGACGAATAGCATCAAATGTCGTCAAAAAGTTGGGATGTCTAAATTGTAAAAAACAAGGCATGGGTAGATCCGGGTAGTATGTATATATATATAATTACCTTATAAGCTGATATCCTGGAAAATAGCGGGATCTGTGTTCATAACCTGGTTTTGAACCCCTTGCCAACCCATAACCTGAAAATGCTCCCCAAAACCGGGTTCTGAAACCACTTCCTAATATTGATCTGCTCAAACAGCAGCGGCAGCTGCTTTTTGGCGCTGGGGTTGCGCTGGTTGGCCATATGTCAGCTGCTCAGTCTTTCCAGCTTTCACAGCTCCTTCAGCCAGGGCAATCGGGATTGGTATCATGCACTTTCATTATTTGATAGATTTGTTTTTATCATATTCATATCCCATGAGGAGTTTTGGTTCAAAAGGCCTATATACTTGGAACTTGCCACGGCAATGGTTCTCCAGTTTGATCCAGCAGGGCTTGGGCTGGAGTGGGATGGAGTGGAATCCATTCGTGACCGGCTGAGATCTGGTAAGTCTTTGGTGGTGCCCGGGACTTCGAAAAGCAATGATGGTACTATTCCTGAGTGTGTTGCCAACCAAGATGTTCTTGTGCCAGTTCTTACCCGTCTTCTTACCAGCAATCTCAAACTACCTGGCGTACCAGGTCTTCGCCCAGAGGTTGAGATTGCTTATGGTAAAAACAACCGTACGCCTGATGAAGCTACTGTGGATGACGATGCTTGGGAACTGCGAAAGCTATTGCGGTTTGTGAAACGAAAAGCGAACCGTTCAGATCCTAGCCTTGATACTTCAATGCAATTTAGCCTTACATTCTTTTTAAAAAGGATCTCACCAACGACATCAAATGATGTTGGTTTGAAAACAAAAATCCCACACATCAAATCCAAACATGCGCCAAGGATGTTGACTTCCAGGAGCTGGTCTTGATGCTCAGACCGGAACTCGAGGTAGGAGGTTCAAATAGGTTGAGACAACACTCATATACATGTAATTTATGCAGTGATTTTTTGAAACGGTACTTCAAAACATGTGCTTTGGGTTTGGCCCACTGCCCCTGTCAAGGTGTTAGTGAATGAGCTTCGTCGGAAAGCAAAGTCCATGCCTCTTGAGTCACTTAAGCAGGACGTGTTTTTGAGTTCCAAAATTCATCTCATTTTATTCCTACAAATGCGTGTCAAAAAACAGTAGTGGTCCTCAAACAAATGTCCCTTTCAAGCTCTTATTTCAATCATCATTAATCTTGCATTGCATTGGGTACTGCAGGATGAAAAAACTGATAGCACAGATTCTGATTCTGATGACGAAACTGTTCTTGGGGATCTCGGTGACCAACCAAAAGCTTCAGAAGCTTCTGCTAGTTCGGGTGGTTGTGGTCTTGGCCCCAATCCTGTTGAAGTTCCAGTTTCCCCAGATTCTCCAGAACCAGTGCCCACAGTGCCCATGGCAGCTGAACCAGTGCCCACGGCCGCTCCTGCTCCGGCAGCTTCGGTGACTTCCACTTCAGCCCCAGCACCTGCAAAGGACGTGGCAAAACCCAATCTGGATGCAGGTGACCAAGCAAAATTAAAACCCACCACTTACACGAACCCACTCCGGACATGACTAAATTTTTGGGAAGGCTGCCATCTTGGGATAAGACATATGTTTTTCTTTAGCTGGATTTTTGTGAGCCTTAGGTGATGATATGGCTCACAAAGCTTTTCGTCGGGCTATGTTGCTAAAGGAACTGGCAGCTCGAAAGGCCCAACTTGAAGAGACACTTTGGCCAATAAAAATGGTCATGTTTTTTTAACTTTTGGGGTCACTTTTGGGGGAAAGAGAACGGTCAGCTACTGGTCTAGTCCCTGATTTCTGAAAGCCTGGAAAAGCACCAGGATGGAGTCGAAGAAGAAGCCTGCGAGCATCAACCGCAATCTGAGCAAAGCTTTTGATCAAGTTGCTGACCCGCCAGGACCGTCATTTCAAATATCGCGGGGTTTATGGTCCATCAACTTCATGTAATATAGGAAATAACTTACCCCTTCTAAATACCTTATCCCATATTCACTCTAGCCCCTGTAAATGGCAAATCTGATAAGTAAGGAAACATGGATAAACATTAAACATTCTTCCGAGCTCCAGGAAAGGTGGAGAACATTGACCAGGCTGATACTTTGCCGTTTGACATTGAGATGGTCAGCCCACCACAGCCTACACCATTCACGCCACAGTCATTTGATGATTCTGACACCCGTCGCCGAAAATTCCAGGGAATCCCCAAGGATGACGTGAAGACCAAGGCTTTGACTCCTACGACAACGGCATCAACACCTTCGGAGCGGTGCCTTGACGAAAGGCTTCTGGAAGTGGCTGAAGCTGAGTCTGGCAACAAGGTCCTGGTCAATCAATCAAAGCAGCTTCCATTAACTGTTCAATTATTTTGTTGGCATTTAGGACTAGTGTTTTTCAAAGAAAAAACGAACCCAACATCACACTCTTCATGCATCCCCTGCCCATGGCTGCCCTGACAGGATGCTGTTACTCGCAGAGAACAACTTGCCATCAAACCAAACAAACCGAGAGGTCGTGGCCGTGGTCGCGGCCGTGGCCGAGGTGGTCAAGGTCGTGGAGGTGATCAGGGAGGGCACGGTGATCAAGTGGACATGGATGATGCAGAGATTTGGGTTGAATATGAAAAGTGGCAGTGTGACTACTATGGTAATTGGCATGTTTGCCATGACGAGAAAGAGCCAGCCAGTGATGCAGACCATGCTCAGCCGCCAAAGAAACGTGCAAAGGGCAATGCAGCAGCATCCAAGAAGGAGCAGCAGAAGCCGGGGAGAAAACCAAAGGTGGTCTCAAAGCACAACACAAAGCAGTCCCAGAAGGTTACCAAGATCAAGGAATCCAAAGCTTCGGGCAAGAAGAAGAAGAGTGACAACAATCGCCAGGTTACCAAGATCAAGGAATCCAAAGCTTCGGGCAAAAAGAAGAAGAGTGACAGCAATCGCCAGGCCACCACAGGAGTGACCATGACGGATGATGAGCGTGCCTTCTATGAGCGCAGCATTTCCAAGGCCATCAAGTTTATCAACAAGATTGACTACACTGGTTTGGAGTTGGATGACATGAAGGCTGTCATCAAACACGAGCTGCCTGCATTGGGCATTACCAACCTGATGATGTACTGGGGCAGGCCAGCAGTCACTGTCCGCAAGAGATGTGGTCGTGGTTGGATTGATGTGGGTTACATCTCTTTTACCGGCAGCTACTTCCCGGACACAACCCATTGTTTGCTGCTTACGATGAGTGTGGCAATTGCATTGCAGCTGGTTTCTCGCCTGTTCAGCCAAAATACATTTTCTCATACTTCCCAAAATCAGTTCAATCAATAAGAGGACGAGAAAGGGTTTCCCCTGCCACCTTAGACTTTATTTAGATCATGCCGCTTGAGGCCCTCTACATCGAGAAGAACAGCTATGGCGTGCCGGCATCTCCAGAACAGATCTGCCGACACGAGAACATCTTGAAGTCGAGCGGGTGGGATTTGCTGAAACGTCTGACCGGACATTGAGGGATCGAAGGTAGAACCATGGCTTTGGGGCCAGGGGGCACTAGAGTAATCTAATAGATTCTCATGGGGTTTTGGCAGCTGGGACTCTTTAGGAAATATCATGGAGTTTCCTGCCTGTGTCAAGGCAAACATCAGCAAACATGGCCGTTCTTGGGTCAAAGATTCCCTAACCAAACATGTCCACATGACCATATGAGCCGTTGGTTTTGCACCTTTTGGCCGTGAGATGCCCTTGACATGACAAAGATACTATAGCTTCTGTCCTCGGCGTATCGCTGAAGCTGCCATAAGCTTTGCCTGGCAGCGGTGGTCAACAAAGAGTGCAAAATATTTTCACCTGCCATGTTTCTGGTGATGTGATTCAAATGGAATCCGCTTTCTTCCCAACATCATGTTCCTCCCAAAAACCAGCCCTGTCTGATGCCCAGTGCTTTCAGGTCATGGTCTTATCCAGAGCCAGGCGTGTGAGGAAGCGCTTGGCCAAAAACAAACGTAATCCTGACTCGTTTGATGATGGGGATGTGCAACTTTAGCCCAGTGCTTTTCAAGGTTGAATTCCTTTGAACTATATAGTTATGCGAACATTCTGAATAGAAATTGTGGCTCTGACCAGGGTTGAAGAGGTAGGGGCGAGTGTCCAAAATGGACCTGGATCTGTCCCATTTGCGGACAGAAATGGATTTGGATTCGCTCCTTTGGGCCCTGTCTAAGCTTGGCTCACCGCAGGAGTCCTTCTGGAAATGTTAACTCCACATCTATATAGTTGCAATTGAGTCAGCTTCCACGGCTTCCAACATCTTCAACTCCCATGTTTGTTTGTCAGGAGTTCCTGATGACTGTGGTGTTGATTTACCACACTGCGAACTTGTTCAACTTGGATGAGGATTGAGAGATGATGTCAAGAATTGAACGTAATCCACTCAGAAAAAAACATTCTAGATTTGATCCCAGCCTTATCCCGCCACAGGAGATGCAGTGGGTGGAATTTTTTGCAGGTCGAGCTGCTTGCACCTTTGAGATGAGACGGGCCGGCTACAAATCTTGCAGGTTTGACAAACTTTACCTGAAAGACCCCAAGAAGTTTGGACGGAAATCGAACTGGCAAGACTTGATGACATCTTCAGGTTTCATGTTACGTGGATGCAACTTGATAGTTTCAACGCTTCTTCTTAACTTATGTAGGATGCCCATTACTTGGTGGATTCAACAGCCCTGTAACTAAGTCTGGCCGTGATCTTCATCATGAAATGCCAAGCCTATGACTTCATCAACTGGGTTGGCATCAAGTGCAGTAGCTTCGTGGCGGTAAATGCTGGAACAAGCAAAAGGTCGAAGTGTAACAGTATTGGCTTACCTTGTCCATCAGTGAATGAGTCCAACTCTTTACTTGAAAGGAGCAGTCTTGGGGGTCGGCTTTAAAAACATGTACATGTTTTGTTCCATCAACTTTTTCCCTGCATATGTATATTAGACCTTTTGGGTTTCCAGCCCCGGCCAGGACAATATGCCTTTTGCAGCTCTGCACTGCGAGACATGGAGTTTGGGTTTTGGAACAGCCAGGGTCCAGTGTCCTTGAATATTATCCAACATGGCTTTACTTCTTGCGGTGCCTCTATGAATTCTATGGAATGGCATCAGTAGGATACTTAGTTTCTGTATGCTTCATAGCTGTTAAGCATTTAATAATTTATATATGTGGGATTATTCCCTCCCAGGTTCGACGAGTGAGCTGGTGGATGTCAAGGTATGGGGCGCCAAGCCCCAAGAGACAATATGCATGGGCAAATTCACCGGCTATTCTTCGCCTTGATGTTGGATGGAAACGCATGAAACCAACCTTGAAGACATGTGAGCAATACCTGAACAAGAAGGGTAAAAAGTGCTGGAAAGGTACTGCGAAGTTGAAATCTACAGAGATTCTTGTCTCAATTGTTTTGTATTGTTTCGTGATTGGATTGGTTTGATATGCAGTTAAATTGGTGTTCCCTTTTTCTCCCTAATGCCCTATGCCACTGCTCGCCTTGTATTTTGTTTTATCCTAGGCATTATCCAGTTCCGTTTGCCCAAGCTATTGTTCGAATCCGACAAGAACTTATCGATGGCCGAGTGCACCATGAATACCCTCACCCAATGCCGCCAGGGCTCGACACTGTTCAAAGGGCACCGGCAGCTTCTGAAGGTGACGGCCTTTTCAAAGCAGCAAGGCTGGAAGAGGTAGTGGCCTACCTTCGGGCTGGGACTAACCTCCGCCTCCCGAAACACTGGCGGGATGGAATTCACTGGCCGAAGGCCGAGGATTGAGCCATATTTTTGTTTCAAACCGAGTCGACAGTGGGTCAAAGATAAAAACCGAATAATTTCAGATGATTTTAACATAATCTAACTATTTTAACTCATTTTTTGGGAAATTTCAGTGGGCAAAAGTGGGAAATCGAGTAAAATCCCGTAAAATCCCATAATCTTCCCGTAAAAAATCCGTAAAATCCCATATTTTACCCGTGCAAATCCCGTATTTCACCAAAACCAGGTTTTGGGGAACCCGTAAAAAACCCGTAAAAATCCCATAATTACCCGTACAAATCCCATAATCACCCGCGCGCCAAAAGTGGGATATCCTGCTTTTTCTAGATCCCACTTTTATCGACTCGGAACCCAGTGTTTTCTCTCAGTACTTCGATTCAACACGATTCGTTCCGTGTTTCATCGATGGGAAATTCAAAGAATTACCTATGCCACTTCGTCTGTGATGAAAAGTACTGGCAAAATGGTTACGTTCAGAGTCAACAAGATGTGAATCTGGCTGCTGTGGACATATTGCATGCCTAGTGGAGGTGCGTGCCATATGCTAGAAGATCATTGATCAAGTGACCAGGGAAAGGTAGGTATGTCCAACCGGTGGTCTTGCGCTACGTTGGGTGAAGGGTTCCAACAAGTCATGGCTGAGACGATGCATGACGAAAAAGCCAAACTTTTGGCGGAGGTTAAGGAGACCCTACCCGGGAGTTTCTCCATGTGCAATCTCTCAACACCATCGATTTTATGTGGTTTATCCATTTTGAAATAGTTTGATTCAGCAGGGGGTTACACTCTTCTGACAGGACATGGAAGCTGAGCTCGCCCAACTTGACCTTGAGCTGTCTGAGGCTGGTACCGCAGAGGTTGATATTGAAGACATATAGTCTTACTTTTCTTTGACCTGGGACAGAAACAATTACCCATACATGGACATAATAATTTCTTGGTTGGCAGGCTGAAACTAGCACTGCAGCCCCTTCCACTGCAACAACCTCTGCAGTACCTTCAGAGGCTTGGGAGTGAATCTGAATTCTGAGTGCTAGCAGCTCTTGCTTGATTCATCTGATCTAGAGATGTAGGAAAGCAAAATGCCAGGTGGCTTCATCTCCTACTGACCCTGGATCTGTGCCCGCTGATCCAAAAACTGGCCATGAGGCTGAGGATGGCTATGTTCCCACGACTGACGATGGTTACACCGATGTATGTTCTTACAACAATGATACTTGTTGAATCAACTTGGGGTCCATTCAATAATCCAATGATCCATTCATGATCGTTTGAAAGAAATACAATTTCTGGATACGTGATTTGTTGCCTAAGGAGCTTCAGGTGAATGACTTGTCCGTCCAGCTGGCTTTGGCTCTTGGTGAGGACATCAAACCCAAATTGGAGGGGGAGGACAACACTGGCCCCATCGGAGATGTGTTTGATGGAAGCGCATCCCCGAAAGACCCCAGCGATGAAACCAATGATGGGAAGAAGCGTATCATCACACGTCGTGTTACCTGCATGCACGTATGGTTCAAATGTGGAATATTGCATGCCCAATATTTTTTAATATTTTTTAACCTTGTATCATGCCCCAACCAATCAATCTTAGCACCATTTGCAACTCACCAAGGAGAAGCTGCGAAATGCGGCTAAAGCCAGGATCAGAAGGATGGTCGCGGAAAAGCGAAAGAGGACTGATTTACAGGTTCCAGCATGGCTCAAGAGGGAGTGGGAGAAAGGGACAGACCAGAAGGAACAGATGGCTGAGTGTCTCCAAGCCGTCAACTGGGACAAGGCTTGGCACCATCCAAACAACTTATGCATATCTTCAAAGCAGTCCCATAAACACACGATTATAACCCGTTTTATTTTTATCATATATCACAATATTTAATATATCATATGAATATATCCTCACCTTACTGCCTAGACGAAATTCGTTGACGAGATGGAGCGGATCATCACTTCCCGCAAGAAGGTCACGGTCAAAAAGGAAGTAGGGTGGTATACAGAGGCTGAGATGAAATCAGAGCTTAAGTGGGCACAGTGGCTATGATGCAATTGATTTGTATTACACTACATGTCACTTGCCAAATAGTTAAATAGATTCTCGCCCTCGGTAAACACATATAATTCATATATATTTTACCAGTTATGCACCCTAGGTCCCGGGCAACTGCAGCGAAGAGCTACTGCACTGATCCAGCCCGCGTTGCAACCCATTCCCGGCCAGGGCCCCTGCTTTTTTGGCCACAACTCTTTTCTATCTTTCCAGTCTTCACAGCCTTGGCGCTGCGAGGAAGAACCTTTATGACGGCCTGATGGAGTACTGGGTCACCGTGCGTGAGTCTGGTTCCTTTGAGGAAGAGCATGAGGTTGAAGAAAAGAAAAGATCTTGTACGAAGGTTCATAGGGGACAATTCAAAATATTTTGTTCCTTCACGCTCATGCCAATATCCCCATTCACTTTACCAAAGATCCCTTTGCGGCCACAGGCTGATGGACCAGTTGAAGTTCCGGCTGAAAGCTTCAGTAATGTGCAGGCTTTGATGGATAAGGATTCGCAGTCAACTGTCCCAGCTCCAGGGGATGCAAATTCGAAGGGTGCTGAGGTGGGAATCCCAACTGAAAGCATTGATCTTGGTTTATTCATGTTGCATGATGACAAAAAAAAACAGTCTTGGAGTTATTGAACATGGCCCTGCCAGAACAAGAACCATTTCCGAAGATATATGGAGAGCATCCTGCAGAAATGCACGAAGCTCCGGAGCCTGGTGAAGGATTTACGGGATAACTATACCCCGGAAGCCATCAAGTCGCAGCTCTACTCAATATGAATAATTGTTTTAAAAGAAAAATATGGTCCATTGCAATTCCACTGTGTTGATTTCCCTGTCATCAAAGGTATGTGAATTCTTTGGAGCAGCACATCAACCAGCTTGAGAAAGAGTATGATGCCTGCCATGAAGTTTTCGGAAGGGGTGAAAATTCATCCTTTGATGTGGCGTCCCTCCCTCAAAGGTTGTTACATTGTTACCTCGAAACCGTTTACAATGTCTTCACCCAAAGCCTCCAGCCCTTTGCAGTTTCAAAAATTCTTAGGTGGTGGAACACGGCCCATGATACTATGAAGAAAGGAACCCTTGTGCCTTGGGCCTAGTAGTGATGCCTTTCCAAGAACCCTTCAGCTATATACTTAGTAGACTGTTCTTTGGCCACAAAGCCCCTGAGGTCCAGTCGCGCGACTGCTGCAGAGCAAAAGGTTCGGCTTCAACCTCAGAGCTCTGTCCAACTCAAACTGATGATGTTTGAAATTGGGAATTGGGATGAGGAAGTCAAAGCAGTTTTTGGAGAAGAAGGATTCTGAACCTCCTACTGGCTCGGTTCCCAAGTCTAAGAGGAAGGAGCGAGAGCAGTCGACCAATCCTGAACCCCGAAGAAGCAAAAAGGCTAAGAAAGATAAGAAAGCGAAGAAAGACAAGTGAAACTTGTCATGTGCCTGTGTTCACTTTGATATGGAGGTGCTGTTTTTTCAAAGCAGCCAGCTTGTGTGGGGAGCCGCATGTTCAAACAAACCCTACTGTAATCCAAAAAAAAAAGTGATCAGCCTGAAGTGCATTCGTGATTTGGTGCGGCTCTCAGTGCTGAACAATCCAGTCTTGGGGCACTCTACAGTTGTCCTGACAGCGGGGCTGAAGTTAGCTTTTCCTGATGCCAGGCACTGGTCAAGTGCAATTTATGTCACTAGCCAAGCTTACTGGACTTAGAACTTAAAATTGTGGAATGAGCAGGCCGGAGGGGTTGGTCTGCGATTCTGCGAGGAGTTTCGAGCCGCTTGCAGATGCAGAAAAAAGGCATCAATATCAGTGCTCAACCTCGATACTTGTGCTACCGATTGATTGCTATGGCGCTTTGCCCACCAATCAGTGCATATCCTTGTCCTCCAGCTTTCCATTTTTCTTATCCCTCCCTAACTCTTATATAGTACTATACTATATTATACCATACTTAGTATACAGGATGCTTATTCTCCATCTTGCCAGGTGCTGGGCCTGGCCTTCGCTGCCTGATCCAAGAAGTTGCTGAAGGGGCTCCAACCTCATCAGCTGAGAGCTGGTTCAAAATTCAGATGGGCAACCGTTTGGAATTATATATATCATATTATCGTATCTGTTTTTCTTGGGGGCATCATCTAAAAAAATCTTTGTGAACTTCAGTCTCCGATAGCTGGCTAAGGTGCCGTGCACTGTGGCCATCCGAACAGCGAGGGCTTTGGTGGAAGAAGTTCCCCAGGTTGCCAGTAGTAGTGTTGGCCAGTTAGCAAAATTCCGTGAAGATCATAGCGAACGTGATGTACAAAAGCTGTCAAAAAAAATGAAACTGACACTCCCAATTCCCCTCAGTGATGTTCAAGTTGGTGGTGAGATGGTCCCCATGCTGAGAATGACTGATTGGAGCAAGTTTATCTTCCAGCACAATCTTTGGCATAGACTTTGTGGGTTGGATGAGCCCGACATGAAGCGTTGCTCCGCAATCTGGGAACGGTTTTGGGGTAGGTACCGGCAGATAAATCCTGGGCATGAAATATTCCAACGAACTGGACATGATCTTAGCAGAACCTGTGCTTTGATGCTACATGGTGATGAGGGGCGGTCCCGCCGCAAATCTGCGTTGATGGTGTTATCAGTACACTCTGTGTTGGGCTATGGTCTCTCAACTTCAAAACGAAAACAAAAGACAAAATATTTAGCACAGAAGTTGAACTATGAGCAGCCTACCTGGACAACCCGGTTTTTACTCTCAGTGCTTCCAAAACAGTACTACAACGAGGAGAATGAAACCACTGGGGATTCCGACCCGTTCCAGGATTTGATGCACGGAGTCTCTCAAGACCTCAGAGTGCTGTATGACAATGGTATTGAAACGTCTGAAGGCCGTTTCTTTTTCTGCATTGTGAATGTCATGGGTGATTGGCCCTTTATCCAAAAATGTGGGAATTTGGCACGATCATTCCTGAATATTTCCAAAGCTGCATCTAGCAAGACGGCTGCCAAAGGCATTTGCCACCTTTGTCGTGCTGACATTGGTGATGTTGTGTGGGAGGATTTCCAAACTGAACCTCCAACTTGGTTGCCAACAGTCAATACTCTATGTGCATTTTCGGAGCCCCCTGCTGCCTTGATGCTTCCGAAGAACAATTCATTTCCAGAAAGCCTATTCAGCTTTGACCTTTTTCATGCATGGCACATTGGTGCTGGCAAGACTTTCTTAGCCTCCTGCTTATCCATGCTGATTTCGTGCTCTGCATACGATGGAGGAATCGACCTGAGGTGTGAAAGAGTGACCGCGGACTATGCAGAATGGTCCAACTCAACTGGGATCAGGTGTCAGCTTCGTCGTATTACCAAGGCTAAACTGGGCGGATTATCTTCAATATCCTATCCCGTAGGGACTTGGAGCAAAGGTAGTACAACAACATGCCTGATGATTTTTTTTCTGGATGCTTGTACAAAATACCAGGAGCATGTTGACAACGATGTGTTGATGCAACTTGCCCAACGTGCTGCTTTGCGAATAGATGAATTCCTACGTGGACTTTACGGCTGGGAACTCTGGATACCAAGTGAGAAAGCAAAACCAATCATTGCTGCTGGCTACAGTTTTCTCAAAATTCATGGCTGTGCAGTGAAGGTTGCCTATACCCGGAAAATTTTACTTTTCCACCTGATGCCCAATTACCACAGGATACACCATATCCTCTATGACATGACATGGCAGTCGAGCCATGCGACCCATGTGCTGAATCCGTTGTACGCAAGTACACAGGCGGACGAAGATTTCATAGGACGGCCATCAAGAATCAGCCGCCGAGTTTCACCCCGTCTTTGCATCCAAAGGACTCTAGAAAGAAGTCTGCAGGCAGCATATGCCCAGTACATAAATAAGGGGGTACTCATCAAGGATGCTGCCTGAAGATCTATGAAGAAAATAAGATTTCATGTCATATTAAATGCCACCACTCAATTCCCACCGTGTTTTCTGAGGATCCAGGCGCACTTGATTGAACCAGCTCCAAGTTGTCAGCCAGAAAGCAGTGGCCAGCAACAGGGGTTAAAAAAAGATGCAGCAAAACCTGGTTTTACAGTGCAAATGCAGGATATTTGTTGATTCCTCGTTTTTCTTAGGAGATAGGCTTAGAAGGTATATATATATATATGAATTCAATTGAGATAGTTGAGTCCATGCATGGTCTTCAGACAGAAAGAGGTCTGAAACATCATAGAGGACCCTGTTGTGGTCTGCAGGATGCTTCTCCTCCCAAGCCAAAGACTATCGCAGCTGTGCGCCAGGCAGCAGAGTCCATTTGAGAAGTGGTACTGCTTTCTAAACACCCCTGGTGGTTGATGATGAATTAAGGCCTAGGATGTTGTACGTACTATCCAATTTTTAGATGGATGTGGGTCAAAATGGAAGACCTAGGGGACCACAGATGTGAATGTCTAGTTTAGTATTAACCATCCATAATTTTGGGGTACCTAATTTTGACCCATACCCAGATAGTTCCAAAAAAAAGGCCGATATCGGGTGTTCGGATTTTTTTCCGGGGACAATCCGACGGATGGGAATCCCGATTTTCCCAATGTTTTGATGATGATTTTTGGCCGTTTTTTCAATGGCCATAAAATGGAGCTCTATCCTGAACATTTTGAGCCACAACAATATACAATATCCATAGCAAGCCTGCTATTTGAAGTCCACTTTTAAATCCCATTAATTTGATGTGAAATCCCTAGAGTTTTGAGTTTTGATGCGTAAAAAAAAATCATCAAAAATTCATGGTCAGCTCCTTTAAAGCTGCATCCCGGAACTTTTTCCTCCGTGCCTCCAGCTGGAGGAAGCCACGAAGCGCAGCTTGGAGACGCCTAGCCAGGCATCCGGCCAACGAATTACGCCGGAGTTTGGGCTGTTCCAAAGGCAGAAAAGATGGCGAAAAGACATGGAAAGACTATGTGATATTTGCCACCCAAGTGGAAGCGAGAATTGGCAAACAGCTGGGAATTCAAGGAAAACTGTGAAGCATTGCAGTCGGAGAACTTTCTGGCTTGAAGAGATTTCGGGCTAAGTTCCAGCGAGACGGATCCCCAATTCAATACCTTGGTATGTAGGGCTTTGGGAGACACGTTGGATGCGGTTCTCACCTTCAAATTCGATGGTGTATGCCCTTTTTCTCCCTTGTTCGCTGTTTGAAAGAACCGTTCTTTTTGAGCAAACGGCTGCAAAAAACTTGCTAAACCACACATTTGGGTCTGTTTGAAAGTGGGGTATGTCCCCAAATGATCATAAAATATTATCAAATGATGCATCTATGGGAAACATCTGGAAATGAACCTAGACGAAGCCATGGTAAAATGATGTAAAATGGGGGTAGCCCATTTTCTGACGCCCCGGTTTGCCCAGTTGCATCCCACGGCTAAAGCGAAGGCGCCTCACCGAAGCAGTGGCTTACAGATGCTTCTAGTAACCCCCCAAAAAGATGGAAAAGTAAAATTCCTTCAGTGATAAACATATATGTACAATATATATATATATATATATGTTTTTTGGGTGTAACTGAAAATGATTTGAACATTGGTTTTCCGTAGAATCAAATGTTCATACATGCATTCAGTGAAAACGCGATAGCTTTCAATATCCGCTTAAATCAAGGTTGTGGATTCAGTACAAGTTCTCCAGCTCTTTTTTGTTCCAGGTTGAAGCCACCAGCCCATCAGTCCTGGCTGGGGAAACTAATCAGACATTGCCTAGTTGATGATGTTGAAGAGGATGTTGAGGTTGTTGACATTCCAACTGCGTTTTGTTTACAGATTTTGCAGCCGCTGTGAAAAAAAGATGTTGCGTACCCTCCATGGCTCACCCCAAGTATATCCGCTATGGTACACGTGTACTGTACCCCGATCCAACATGTTTTGTTCTTATTATATATAACTTAACTGGTTGGTGGTTTGGACCATTTTTTAATTTTTCCATGTAATGGGAATGTCATCATCCCAACAGACTTTCATATTTTTCAGAGGGGTAGGTATACCACCAACCAGATAATTTCTGATATAGATTACACAGTAGATTCAGTGTTTAGACATCGAATGGCTTATAATCTCAGGCGCTTCAATCGCCATTCGTGGGAAGCATGCAAAATGTCGATGACTTTCCATAGGGGATGGTTATCAGTGATAGTGGAATGAATGATCCTATATCATCCTATATCCATATCCATATTCCATATGCAATGTGCAATGGCCGTCGCACGACTCTGACTTTTTGTTACATCCCAATTTCACGGTGATTCAATGATACCTTGTATATCCTTGTATCATCTTGTATCCTTGTTTTCAATGGGAATTTCAGGATCCTAAATTGGAGGTACCTACCATATACAAGACCTATTTTTCACGCCTATGTAAGGGAATATCCCCACAAAATATGGCCAGAAATATGGTACTAACGTACCTCCATCTGTTGGATCCTGAAATTCCCATTGATGTTTTGTCATACACATGTCAGTGCACCAAAACTTTCATAAAAATTGCTAGGGGGATGTCATCAATCTATCCCAGATGCGAACCATGGTGCTGGTATATTTACCTACAAAACTGGGCCATAAAAATGGGGTAAATGGTGGGATTCATATTCCAGCACCATGGTTCGCATATGGCTATTTGGTAAGGTTTTACGGGTAACCATACTATGAGATTCCCACGGATGGAGACGGATGGCCATAGCACATTATGCCATGCATTGACCTTGGCACTATGCCACTAATATGAAAATGGCTAAATCAAATATCTGGTGGGTGGTTTGGAACATTTGGAACATTGGTTTAGTATGGGATAATTATATATAATTATGGTTAATAATGGTTCATAATGGTTCATAATCACTGGTTGGTGGTTTGGAACATGGCCTTTATGTTTCATATGTATTGGGAATAATCATCATCCCAACCGACTTTCATATTTTTCAGAGGGGTTGAAGCTGCGAAACCACCAACCAGATATACCTTAAACCATGGCATTTGTAAATCTCTACTGAAGTACCTAAGAGTTACCACTGACTTGTGGGTCCATTGGTACCCCACGTTCAATCACCATTGCCATTCAAAGTAAAGTCCAATCCCAGAAGTGGTTTGAATCGAAATGTACAGATAAATCATTTTTCTAAATCTCGATTTAGGGGGAAAAGAAAACCATAGTGTTGTCCAAGTTCTCCCTTTAATCAAACCATTGAACCAAACAATATGCCTCAGGCCCCAGGGGCCCCAGGGGCCGGCATGCACAAGTCGGCTGCGTGCAGCCCTCGGCTTTTTTTTTCCATCGACGATGACGATGGTTCTGATAAGTGAGAATTACTACAAAAAGTATATCAGTGGATATCAAAATTATGACATCAAATTATGAATATATAATTATGGATATATTACGCCCATATGCTCCATGGTGCTGGTATATTTACCTACAAAACTGGGTCATACAAATGGGGTAACTGGTGGGATTCATATTCCAGCACCATGGTTCGGACATGGGATGGATAAAGTGTATACATATAGATCCTGATGGCGTTTGTTTCTCAATTGTGAGGTCGCTGATAAACAAAAAAATATTGACCTCACTGGATTGGATCATGCCACTAGAGATGCGGCTATGGTTATCTGGCAATGACTAACGTAGCTATTGAACATGGCCCAGTCGAAATAGTTGATTTCGCCAGCTATAAAATGCTGGATCTTTTGATAGTTATGTAATGTTATGTAAACGTAGAAACCATATAGTTATGGGGTAAAGCCCGGCAACTCTCATGAATTTGGGGTATGAACAACCAGCATCCAGCTATTTGGATGTGATCATATAATCAGCCAGACTCAAAGGGACCGCGGTAATCCTCTCCCCAGAGAATGAGCCATTAAAAAGCGGAGTAATTAACAAATAGACATGTTTTTGACCAGGATTACGTTTAGGGTTTAGGGTCTGATAACATATTAAAAATCCTAAACCATGTTTTTTTGATTTATAAAAAAACGGGGGGTTATTAACATTTATTAACCGACGTAATGTATTGTCGATTACACTCTGGTAAACTAACATAGCTATATGGTAAATCATCATTTTTAATAGGTTAAACATCTATAAATGGGCCATTTTCAATAGCTTATGTTCAATTACCGGAGAGTATATGTGATTATGATAAACCACAATCGGCAGAGCACCTATTAGATCCATCAGCCAATGTGGGTATCGCTGATTTTGAGGTTGCGCCAGGGTCAGAAACCTCAAAAAATCTCACCACAAAAAAAGTTTGCTAAAGAAATTGACATGCAGAACTACCGTTCAACTCTTTAGGATTTTAGTTTTGACCTTAGTTTTGACCTTTCTATCTTTTTTTGGTTGCTATATATAAAGCATGCATAAGAGATGCAGGTGAAGTATCCGCACCACGTAACTGCCCAAGATTTCCAAGGGAAAGGGCACTCCGACGCCTAGAGACCCCATTTCTGGTGATGGGTTGAAGACCTATCTGGATGATCGATGTGCATCGCAGCTAGTAACTAGTACCTTGGATTAGCTGGGCATATCTGATAAATATATATAGTATGATATATATATATATATACATATATATATATATATGTATATATATGTATATATATATATATATATCCATAGAACTGGCTGGTCACACATGAATCGCTTGGGGTTTCTGGAATGCACAGAATGCACTGAGCATTTTCATGAAAATGTTCATTATCTGAACTCCACACCGTCCACAGGAAAACTGCGGCGGAGGAAGTGCAGACAAAGAAGGACGGCGGCGCATCTTCTGAAGAGAAGCAGTGGCCCAAAGCCACAGTTTTTAACAGGTCATTCATCCGCAAATGGGGACCAAGCTAGATGACCGGAGGGCAATTGTGTTCCTCACAGGTAGACGAGTTTACACTTCTTTCCAGTGAACCAGTGATGGTGACATGCTTTGCAGTTCAAGGACTGATCAATTCATGTATGCGCCTGTATTTCAACTGTGATGTCTACCCGGAAAATTTGCTGGTTGATGCGCACAAGGCATGACTTCCCATCGATCATCAATTTTCAAGGGATGTTGCAATAGGGTTCGGGCATGCCCCACATGATTCCTTCAACAACTCTCAAAGAAAATTCACACATGGTAGTCAAATGAATGCCTGGGTTTGGAAATGGGGATAGTCAGCCAAGAATCAGGATATCAGCGACGAAGAAGGATATAGAATTGGGGCACATCACTGATGAATTAGAAATGTGGAGATAAGAAACCACCGTTTACTCGACCTGCAGCTGAGATTGGCAGAATATGGACGGTCTTTTTGTTTGGAACATTCAACCAAGCAGACTCCCAAGCAGAGTGTTTCTCAACATGGGAGATACCCCCAAAAAAAACCACCAAATTGGTTTGCTTTACTTCGAAAAAACTCACGGGGGTCCCCTCATCAAGAAACCATTTGGACAGCCTCCCCGAAGATTTTTCATACCTCCCAGAAACCATGAAGGGTGATGGGATTAACCGCCCAAGGAATGGTGCAGCCAAAGATAGACATTAGACCAGACCATATCTGGTTGGTGGTGACTGGAACCATGGAATTTTGACTGACTTTCCAGAAACAGTTGGGAATGGAATTTCATCATCCCAACTGACGAACTCACTCCATGATTTTTCAGAGGGGTTGGTTGAAACCATCAACCAGATATGTTCTTCTCAGATATCAATGGCCCCAAGAGTTGAGAAATCTTGGGGATGTGCCGATCGGCTGACCGTGAAATGATTGGTTAGTTACGAAAGTTACCAATGCAAAATATCACTAATTGCTAGGTCCCCAAGTAAGGTTTCCTGATTTGCAAGTAGTGTATGTATATGCAACCGAGCGAAACTCATAGAGAACTAATATGATTTGATTCCATGTTTGCTTGTTCAGTTGCCTCTCTGAGAATTGACAGCTATTTGGGTCAGTCTGAACCACGGGTACCATTTCAGATTGCCATTCTGGTTGCCCCATGTTAAAACATCATTGGTTATATACATCCAATTGTGTCCCCATGAAATCTGCTTGAAATTGCTGTTTATATCTTACATCATTAGTACATATATACTTGTAAATTATCACTGCTTGAGACTACTTTAACAATGATGCAAAGAGCAATTTCATGGGATGGATGGGGTTGCAGCATACTTTTCGGTTGGAAATACGATGAGATACTGGGCAACAATACTATTTCAGAACATCAAATCCTCATTAATTAGGAAGCAATCACCATTTCAGTCTATTTCAGTATCGTGATAGCTACTATAGAAATTTGGGGAGTTGATCGTAATATTACCTTAGATCACTATTGGGACGACACTATCCCTATCATTAGTTTGTTATCACTGTTTAACCACCTATCATTAAATCAGTGTAGGCCATATATCCAATTATATCTCCATCACATCCGTATCGTTGGTAAGCGATAACTTTTCAGTCTATTTCAATACTTAGATGGGCCATGGAGTTAGTGAGCTAGTTCGTCAATGGATTCTTGTTGGGAGATGGTGATAATTCACTTACTCAACGGGAATCGCTCATCCCGCGGCCCATCTATCAGACCTTCCAGAGCTTCCAGGTCCTGGTGTTTGGGATTGAAATGGGATGACTCCCATTGGCTCAACCACCACACCAACCAGTTGGTCCCCCATGTCATGCTCCAAGTCACTATATGTACCAACCAGCTACCAGCCATGTGTCATCCCTCCATGTCACTCCGGAGGAGGCCCTACCTGCTAAGCGGAGCAGGGAACTTGGGATCAGCCAGACTTTGGTGGGGTTGCCTAGATCATCACGCAGACACTGTTTCAAATGTTGTTCAGCCACCCTCGGGTCATGAAACATGGCATGCTGGAAACCCATTCGATGATTTTCCCATGGAATTTTCGGAGAGCCACGGTTTTTTTACCGGAGGGTGTCTAGGAGAATGATCCCCACAAATGGGGAACCAACAGGGGATCAACGGACTGATCATATCCGGATAAAGTAAATCAGTAGCACCGGGATCCCTCTGGAAATGTCCCGGGATCACAATGGTTAACCGTCCCAAGAATTGGGGCCCACAAGATTCCCTGACATGACAAGATTGTTTTGGTGGATTTCCGTGGTGAGTTGCTGGTCACATGCAGGTATTCCGTGCAGGTAATTATCAGTGTTTTAAGGCAACCCCCTCCGTCGAGAGATTATAACGAGCTGATTTTTCGTGATCCAAAATCGCTCCGGCCCAAATCCAAGCAATCTAGGAAGCTCTACACAATCGTTCAATGTTTTCTTGTACAGAAATTGCACGTTGAATGAGGTCCGGTAAAAAACTAAGTAATATGCCAATGTTTGTTGGCACCTGAATAGAAAACAAATATATAACATGTCAATTCTATCCTGGTTTTGGTGAGCAAACCCTCCCCAGTTTAGATCAGTTGTGGCCCAGTTGAATCCGACGGCAAAAGCGAAGGCAGGGAACGTGTGGTCGTGCAGTCAGACTCTAAAGCTTTGATGCATCATCACCAGAAGCGGTGGTTAGATCAGGTTGTTGTTGTTGTTGTTGTTGTTTTTGTTTTTTAACGACTTACATCATGATATTATAATTATATATAATTATATTATTATTATTACTATTATTATTATGATTATTATTATTATTATCACAGGTACATGTAAGTGGGGATTGGTCTGTGGTTTCAAGCATCTTTCATATCGTCGATTTGATGATTACTCCAAGATGAGTGCATTTTGAGGGGCTTGAACCCATTAAGTATGATCTTTCCAACCAAACATGGCTTACTTGACATTATTGAAATATCAGTATTTGCGCCGAAGGAATCCGACGGTTGCTTAGTAAGTTACTCTAAATCCATCCACATCCATAGCCCTATGCTTTCAGTATCGTTTCAGTATCGTGATTTTGGTTTCCTTCCGGTGTACCCCAAAATTTCGAAACTTAGACCATGGCTTAGTATCGAAACGCATGGTGACTTTGGGATCCCCCATGTGATGAATTTGCTGAAAGGCTCCAGAAATGCCGTCGGCACTGCGCAGCCCTTAGTGAAAGGGATACTGTGGCACTCTGACGAACTTGAGTTCAAGATTTCAAGCTTCCCTTTAAAAACAAATTAATGAAGAACTGGTTGGTGGTGACTGGAACATGAATCTTATTTTCCCATTCAGTTGGGAATGTCATCATCCCAACTGACTTTCACTCCATCATTTTTCAGAGGGGTAGGTAGGTTGAAACCACCAACCAGATTATTATTAACCATCATTAACCATATATAATAACCATCATCATTAACCATGAAATTAACAGTGTATTAACCATGCTATTTTCCATGTTATTTTCAGATTTTCCATGAAATCAACCATCCAGTTCTTCATTTCAAGCCGCCGAAAAAGCGCCCTTTGTGGAGCGCAGGAGAACTTCTCCAGTGACCATAGATGTGCCGACCGTGGAGGACGTCCAACCGAAAGGGCCTTTGGGGATTTGGCGATTGTTCTTAAATGTGTTCTTAAGTCATGTTACCCTCAAGTGAATAGTGATTAATAGTGGTTGATAATGATAATTAATGGTGATTAATGGTGATTAATGGTGATTTACCCTCCGGTAAACGTTTACATAACGAACTGGAAAGATCCACCATGCTATTAATGGGAAAACTCACTATTTCGACTGGGCCATTTTCAATAGCTATGTTAAAGTACCAGAGGGTATCTTTCAGGACGATGACATTTTCAGTCAGAGAATATTCAGACCTTGGCTGGTTGCCAGTCTTGGGGTTATTTTTTCAAGACTAAGTGGGGTTTATCCTCTACATAAGTGGCGCACATAACCCCACTTACCAACAACTTATCAAGCGAGATGATCCTCCACGTGACGCGGGCCACATTCAGGGTGTAACCCCAAACACTGACTGAGCGAGCTCAAGCCGGCTTGAGTTCAGGGCACAGCCTGGGACCCTTGGACTCTGGAACCAGCGGTAGCCTGTCAGAGAAATTGATGTGGGTTTGTCTGAGAATAGGCTAGCCCAAGATCCCATTGCCATGATTTTGCTTCTTGAAATGGCAATGTTCGCAGCGTATGTTCCCATCATTTTTCTACTGGTGGTTTCAAACATGACTTTTATTTTCCATTTCATATATTGGGGATAGATAATCCTGGCCATTGACTTTCATATTTTTCAAGATGGTTGAAACCACCAACCAGCCATCATTTTTCTCCCATATTTTGGACTGGTTGGTGGTTTGGAACATGAATTTTATTTTTCCATTCAGTTGGGAATGTTATCATCCCAACTGACTCTAATATTTTTCAAGATGGTTAAAACCACCAACCAGTAATTATTATCAACCATCATTAAGCATATAATAACCATATAATAACCATATAATAACCATATAATAACCATATATTAACCACTGAAGTATCCCCTTTTTGGACCTAAAGAGACGGAGGATTCCCCTCCGGCCAAAAAGCCAAAGACCGAGACGCTGCCCGAGATCGTGGGGCCCTCAGCGGAGCATCTGGCGATCTGGCAGTGGTGTGTTGGTGTGGGCAATAGAAATGGATATAGTATGATATGGTTCAAAAAGCCGGGTACCCTGGTAAACCCCAAAATCATGGTGATTTACGGATGTTTATCCCCCAAATATGGAAAGGTGGGTTTTGATCCATACCCAAATAGGATACAACAAACTGAAAATAGGAGCCGGTGAGCAGGAACAGAAATCAAACCTCCAAATTCTTATGCTTTGAGAACTTTTGAGGCACCAACCTGACGACTGATAGACAAATTTAATCTGACACCCCTGTGACGCATTTATCGACATGCGGACTGACACACATACCGGTTCACAAAAAGAGACGTCTGGTACGTTGACGCGCTTCCGTATTTTTATGCACACTGCGGCAAATACTGGCAAACTTTCATATTGACCGGCACATGGGCACAAGTATTGCTCCAGTTATTTACTGGCATGTGCTCTGACACAAATGCTCACACATTGGCTGAGATAATGTGTGGTGAGGTTCTGACTGACATTTGTTTATACTGACCCATCAAGTGTCATTTGGACAAACATGCTGACATGTATACTGACTCGCACGTCAAGTAAGTTTGTGTGTTGTCAGCCAAACCACTGTTTAAGCCTTGTGTGCTGTGAAGACAAAGACGGCATGAAAACACGAAGATGAAGATGTGCAATCCCCGAATTGGTTTCAGGGAAAAATTGCAGGACGCTTCCATATTTGATGGCAAATAAAACATGTAATCCAGCAAGAATGCTCCCTTCAACCGATCCATTGATTGAAGAATGGGAAGAACCGTTTATACTGACGTAAAATCTGTAGAGACCTTTCCCTGACCGATGGGGGAGACACTCTGGACAACACGGTTTTTTCTTTTCTGGTCAATGTGGAACCCTGACTAGTGTGGGTATACTGTATTGTGGCAAGTTTTTCCAAAATAATTCTGAATCAGTGTAATTGTTTGGGTGGTCGGGTATTGTGTCAAGTTTTTTTTTCAGCATTTTTGTCAGTTTTGTTCAGCATTGTTTAAAAGTTGTTTTCAGCATTTTTCAGTTTTTTCAGCATTTTTTAAGTTGCTTTCTCAGCATGTTTTTCATTTTTTCAGCATTATTGAAAATAATTAATTATTTAATTAATTAATACATAGTTGTTTGTTGTGGTGCTCCTCTATTGTGTCCAGCTGTTGTCTGCAGAAACATGTTTTTTTTTGGTGTTGACCCATCAGCAAGATTGATCTTCAATAGTATGTTTGTTGTGGTGGTCCTCTATTGTGTCCAGCTGTTGTTAGAAGAACAACTTTTTTAAGGTTGTGACCCATCAGCAAGATTGATCTTCAATAGTATGTTTGTTGTGGTGGTCCTCTATCGTGTCAAGTTTTTTTTTGAAGTGAACATATTCCAAAATCCTTTTCTCCTTTCCTTTTCATTTCCTTTGCTAATACTTTTCTCTTTTTAACTGTTTTAGCTCATTTTTTTTTGGAATTCTCGAAATGTCTAATTGAAAGTAAATTGAAATCAATTGAACGTATATTTAGTAAATTGAAATCAATTGAAAATCAATTGAAATCAATTTTTGAAGTAAATTGAATTCAATTGAAAATCAATTGAAATCAATTGAAAGTGAATTGCATTCAATTGAACATCAATTGAAAGTAAATTGAAATCGATTGAAAATCAATTGACATCAATTGAAAGTAAATTGAAATCAATTGAACAATAATTGAAAGTAAATTGAAAATCAATTGAAATCAATTGAACGTAATTTGAAGTCAATTGAAAATCAATTGAATTCAATTGAAAGCAAATTGAAATCTATCAAAATAGATTGCTTCAATTTTATTCAGACCCCGTTACTTGCAAAAAGAACACATTAAAGAGAGTCTCAGAATTGTTCAGTGGTGGGGGCCCTACACTAATCAGGATCCAACATTATATAATATTAGGTATGTGAATTATTGGTTTCCTGGTCTTGCACAAGATCGCTGGCTCGTGGCTTCTTTTGACTTTGCACGCATCCTAATATTGCACAGCCGTGTGCATTTGAGCGACCTATTCTATCTCAGGATGCGAAACCACTAACTCCACACTAACCCAATGATATGGAATGGTATGGTATGGTATGGTGAATCAGACCGGCTGAGCTCACATTGATGGGGCGAATGCATCAGAATGCGGTGCTGTTGCTAAACCACCTTGTTTATCATCCAGTAAACCAACATTGTGGAAAATCCACCATACGCAAATCATATCAAATCATGTCCAGAGGAAACAACCATGAAATTCCATAGCATTCCAGAGCTATATGTTCGATTACGGATACCCTTTGACACTCAAACATGGCTGAAAAAGACCCGGGAGTTTTATGTTTTTCTCAGATGCCCATGGTCAACTCATGTCATGTCAACTCGATGGCCCAGTTGAAACCCACTGCGAAAGCAAAGGCACCGTTCTGCGGTCGTGTTGTTTTTCGTTCGGTCGTGGATGGGTCAGAAATGCGAACATATTTTCGAAGGACTTCGTGTGGTTGTTGAGTTTGGGCAAACCTGGTGTATCACCCGAAACGGACATTATTTGGATACTGGATACAGTACCACGTAATGGGCAATTTAGTGACCCCTGAGGGGGGGGGGTGCGGCAGTCGCCACACGGGAATTAACCTGTCCACAAGTACCTCCTCAATAAAATCAGCTTTGGCTGATGCAGCCACGTGCTGCCACCTTACACAAACAGTTCCGTGCTGTCACCTTACCAAACCAGCTTCATGCTGGTTGCAGCTTCGTGCTGCCGGTGGTGCGTCGACTTGGCGGTGCCTACCACCTCTTCAAAGGATGGAATGGGCAATTTAGTGACTGCAATGTTTGGGCAAACTCCACAATCTCATGGTTGAGAGGAGGACATATCATTGATTATACATCCACTAACCACTGGCTGACTAGTCAGGTTATGGTCTGATTTTTACGAATAGAATATATCTTACTATCTGTTTATTCGATCACGGCTTAGTTGAGGGCATCAAAAGATATTGGAATTTGTCCAGCAGGAATCCCACCTTATGGATCCTTATGGTACATGTCCGTGAAAAGAAATGGTATGGCGCTTGTGACACTCCAAGACCGTCCAAATGCACACCAAAGGAAGCTGTGTCTTTGTTCATTACATCAATTACCGTACATCATATTACATCCTTAGTTTTGTTGCTTATGTCAATATCCATCAATACCCCAGCTCTTGGTTGCGCCCCATTTTTACATGTACTCTACTGTATATCACGTCCTTTTCCGGTATATTATTTCCCATGGCTTTTTGCAATATATTATCTGATCATTTCTGTTGGTGAAATCGCCACAATTGTTGATCACCTGTGTTGCTGACATACATTTACATCCCCATGTCCACTGGTGATATCAGTTCTTTGTTTGGTCATGCCGGCAATGGGACCCCAAATTTGGAAACTTATCGTGACACTCCTGGTTTCCACCCAGTTTAGATGCCCAAGAAGGATACCTAACCCTCCAAAACAATTGGAGAGTGTTCGTAATTAGACTCAACATGACATTTCTTTCAGACCCGGTGGCACCCCAATTTTGATTTATACTAAATTCCCCAAATACAAGAGAGAAAAGTCATTCGCCATGATTTCAGTAAGACTTTCCTGTGGTTTCGTCTGCGCAGGCGGGGGTACGCATGTTGGGGACCGTGCACAACCCTTAGTCACTGAAAACATGGAAACGGTGAAACGCTGAAACGTGGGAGTTTACCACTTGCAGATCCAACAACAAGCCAATGCCAAGTTGGGAATTAGTGCAATATAATATATGATATCTTATAAAACTAGAAAAAATACTGTTCTAATGATATGTCTATATACATGCTTGGGAAGCCAATACTTCATTGTCAGTGCAAAATAAATTTCCTTCAAGAGGACCTAAGTGGCTTTGTTGGACCTAGGCGTTTTGCCTTAAACTCCAGGGGTCAAGAGGATGGAAGCCACAATAGACTCAGGGATTTGTCAGCCAAGCATCCGCATGCTACTCCTCACTGGAGATTTCTGAACCTACGAATCCCTTCCCCCCCCTTTTTTCCGCCCGTTTACGAAGCCCCTGGTTTTAGTGATGTGTTTATTTTGGGTCCAACATTTTTTTTCGAAGAAAACGATGTTCATTTTTCTAGCGGGAAGGGATGAGTATTTCTATCGATCAGATGTAGAAAGTCCGGTGTTGAGGCCGGCTTGTACTGGGGACGATCAGCCCGGTAATCCCATCAACCAATCAATGGGAATTTCAGGATCCAACAGATGGAGGTACTGTACCATATTTCTGGCCATATTTTGTGGGGATATTCCCGTACATAGACCTGAAAAATAGGCCAAAAATATATGGTAGGTACCTCCAATTTAGGTTCCTGAGTCATGGCCATTGAAGCAATATCAACCAATATCCACTGAGGAATCGTCACATGCTCAATGGGAGATTTTCAATCTGCTGCGAGGACAGAAAAATCGTCGATGGATGCGGAGAGTAAGATTTTCAGTAAGATCATGGTATGGTTGAAAAAGTGTGACAGTGTGGCTTTTAAAGGTCTCTGCTTGATGATGTTTTTGAGCCAGTTTGCTGCCAGTTGCTGAATCTTGACTCGGACCATCAAAATTGTAAGTCATACCCTTTCTGTAGTCATACGGTGTGGAAGTAAGTGCCCAGAACAATGAGGTGTGCTGTGTGCTGTCTGATGATTCAGTGGCTCTTGCCCAGTCAAGGGTCTGACCCGAATCTGGATGTTACGTCAGTGTCTTCTCCTTCTCCTACCTACGCTTCTTCCTCCAGACTCTTCTCCCGGATATTTGCTTCGCTTCTTCGCCATAAAACTCTGCACGGATGTGTCTGAAAATGTGGTGAAAAACCACCCCAAGCCTTGCCAATTCAGTTAGTATAGGAATGATGAATCATGATTCATCAAATTGGCAATCAGATGGCCAAAATCTGATGAACTCATGGATTTAGAGTACCCTATTTTCAGAGATAAACCCACTCCGTGGTCTGCGTGGTCAGTCGCAATGCGTGGGTGAATGCGTCGTAGTATGTGTATGGCCCTTTTTGATCCTTTTTGTAAGCGCCGGGCTGGTAAAAACCTGCGCGGTTTTTTGATTGTCAGATTTGCAGGGTATTTACAGTACACGAACTAACTTTGTTTTCCATGATGGAAGAATGATTATGAATTTTGACATGCGTGATTATTCTTCTTTGCTAAGTGACTTTCCTGTGCAAGCCAGCATGTCCCAACGTTGGAAGTTACGTGAAAAAGAAAAGAGCGTAGCTTGAAAGTTTCTTGGAAAAGATAAGGGCGTAGCATCAAAAGCGCCTTGGAAGTTACTTGAGAGAGTCAAAAAATTGGCTTCAAGGGCGTGTTGGAAGCGGCTTGAGAAAGAGAAGAACATAGCATCAAGAGCGTTGGAAGCAACTTGAGAAAGATAAGATCGTAGCTTCAAGAGCGTGTTGGAAGTCAATTAAGCAAGATAAGAGTGCAGCATCAAGAGCGTGTTGGAAGCTACTTGGGAAAGAGAAGGGCATAGGCATAGCTTCAAAAGCGCGTTGGAGGTTACTTGAGACAGAAAAGAGCGTAGCATCAAGAGCCTTTTGTAAGTTACTTGAGAAAGAAAAGATCGTAGCGTCAAGAGCGTGTTGGAATTTACTTCAGAATTGAAAATATTGAAAAGTTGAAAAGAGCGTAGCATCAAGAGCGTGTTGGAAGTTACTTGAGAAAGAACAGATATGAAAGATCATAGCGTCAAGAGCGTGTTGGAAGTTACTTGAGAAAGAACAGATATGAAAGATCATAGCGTCAAGAGCGTGTTGGAAGTTACTTGAAAAAGGAATATCATAGCGTCAAGAGCATGTTGGAAGTTACTTCAGAATGAAAAACATGAAAAGAGCGTAGCATCAAGAGTGTGTTGGAAGGGAAGTTACTTCAGAATGAAAAATGTGAACTTTGTTTTCCATGATGGAATAATTATTTTGAATTTTGGCATGCATGGTTATTTTTCTTCGCTAAGTGACTTTCCTGTGCAAACCAGCATGTCCCAACGTTGGAAGTTACTTGATACAGAAAAGAGCATAGCATCAAGAGAGTGTTGGAAGAAGAATTCAAGGCAACAGAACGTTATTACCCCTGTGTGCCAACCCGGTGTGCCATCCATGATGAGGTGTTTTGTGAACGGAACAACGCAAAAAAAACCGCCAGCGCAATTTTCACCTGGCATTCATAACTTAACTATATCTGAAGTCAGCTTCAACAACTCATGACAACCAAGAAACCAGTACATCTTCATCGGGTAAAGTCATTAAAAAAAAAAACAGAATTCATTGCGGGTTTCTAGCGGCCCGACACCTTTTTGTATGTCATTGTTACACATGCCAATACACGTGTCAGACACTTGTCAGGCGGTTTGAGGCTGCATCTGCGACACAAACCACATACTGTATCGATTGATGGGTTGCAGATGTGTTTCTTATTGGTGGTTTCAAACATGAAATTTATGTTCCATTTCATATATGGGATAATCCCAACCCCATTGACGAACTCATATTTTTCAAAATGGTTATTGCACCACCAACCAGGTTTCTTCGACGCACCTTGCTCTATCCAGGAGATCTCAGGTGTCCATGGCAGGGATGCAGAAATCCCACCAGAGCACGTGCTCCCTGGCCTGTTCCAGGCTACCCAGGCTACCTGGGGAATCCTACCGAGTAATCCTCTGGTAAACCTACAAAAAACTATTGAAAATGGCCCAGTCGAAATAGTGGATTTACCCACTGAAAATGGTGGATCTTTCCAGTTCGCTACGTAAACGTAGGTTTACCAGGCCGGGTAATCTTCGAAATGGAAAGTCATCGAACGCAATTGAGATCCGATCCTGCGACGAGGGCCGAGCACCAAAAAAGGTATTCTGGGTGGTTAGACCCTGCCAGGTACCCATGAATCTGAAAGTCGGGGACCGTGTCTCGTTCGTCGTCCGGGAGTCAGAGGCAGGGCCGAAAAACATCCTCTTTTCGACAGGGAAGTTGATGATATTACCATCTGGTTGGTGGTTTGGAACATTTGTTATTTTTCCATATATTGGGAATAATACTCCCATTTGACTTTCATATTTTTCAAGATGGCTACAACCACCAACCAGTATATATATTTGTATATATATATATATACATATATATATATATTGAACATAGCCATGGAAAATCACCAGTTTTAATAGGTAAACCCAGGTAAACCATCTATTTCTATGGGCCATGGCTTCCATGGCTATGTTAAATAACCAGAGGGTACATGCAACGGATGGGTTGCCCGTAACTCTTGCTTGAAACCTGTCCCGGATCATAATAGACGACCGGAAGCGGAACATGATATGGAAACTGGATAAGATGGTATGGGAACTAGGAACTGGGCAATTGTTGGCGACTTTTGAGACACTATATTTTTGGATGCGGGAAGGGTTTCAAATGAGATTATCACTAGTTGCCAGTTCTGGGAGTGATGCCATTCTGCCAGAGCACCCCAGTCTCAAGACGCCTCTGAAAGTTGTTCAGCATTGGCCAGACATTTAAGTGACATCCACAACTTTTCAACAAAAGAAAACAACTGAAACTCAGCATTTTTTAGTTTCAGTTTCGTTTCGACGAGTCCAGGATCAGCAATCCTCGCCGATCTGGGCCAAGAACCTTCAGGCTCACAGGGCTTGGATGCTTTCAGGATCCTATGCAATCCCATGACGGATCCTAACGGTGCTGCTATATATGGTGTGCCATGGATCCCATCAATATACCCCAGTCATGTTAGCATATATATACCATACATGGATCCTATGGGTATATATGCTAACATTGGGGGTATATTGATGGTAAATGTTGCCATATATAGCAGCACCATGTATCCTATGGGGTATGGTTGGATGCTTTCAGGTAAATTCAATGTGATTATACAAATTGATGCTTTCCGTCAATTGCCATCTCCAATTCTTGTTGCAGAAATCACGAAATCACTTTGTGTCATGCAGCCGTCCAAGCCTGCAGTTTTTGATAGATCCACCTGTGTCATGGATCCTATTACCCCTGAAGAATCGATGGTTACATAGAATATTAAACATATCTTATACATATATATATATATCTATTATATATATATACATATACATATATATATATACATATATACATATATATATATATTATATTATATAAATATAAACATTATAAACATTCCCAAAACTGTCTGGGTCCCCAACTGACTTGACCCTTCCCCTTGATAGTGATTCCGTCAAAATTTGGAGTTTCTGTAGTCAATATTGGGGGATGGTGGGATGGATGATCTTTAATGCATATATCATATTATTGGTTACATATACATTATATAACTTTATATTCCATTATACTAGAATGTGAGGCCCCTAAATGTGATGTTAGTTGGTTATAGTTGGTTAACAAAAGCCCCAGTAACTAGTTCGTTATTTGCGTACCATAAACCATAGTGAAATTGGAGTTATTGGCACCAACTTAGCTATCGAACGGGGGCCTCACATTGTATGTTTTGTTGGTTAAATCATGTAAAATCCTTCATTCATCCCATGGACGGCACAAAGGGCGGCGGTTCCAAGTCCGCTGCCAGGTGCTATCTGCTCCCAGGGCCCCAGCCCTCAGGGCCCCTGCCCTCAGGGCCCCTGCCACGGCCAAGCCTGCGAAGATGGCAGATGGCAAGGCAACGCCTGGGCAATGCGGAGTGAGTTCACCCAAACTACATAGGGTGCGCTCCGTGTGGGGTTTTAACATGTTTACATCTGTTTTAACCAGTACCAGCACATTGGACTTTAAGGGGGGAAAACAGGGATTTAGTATGATTTAACCAACACATGATCTGAAGAATTTGTGTTACCAGCAGAAACTTGGTTTCAGGAACCTGCGAAAGGCTGGTGGGTTGGCCAACTTCAACCTGTGAAATGACTCGCCAGAAAGTGATGCCTTTCCCAAAAGGAATGTTGCCAGCAAAAGGGACAATTTGATGAGCAAAGCTGATGATGTAAAGACCAAAGAAGCAGAATGTCCTGGTTGGTGGTTTCAAACATTTTTTATTTTCCATAATATATGGGATAATCCTTCCCATTGACTTTCATATTTTACGGAGGGGTTCAAACCACCAACCAGTGTCATATAGCCAACCAAAAGACTTGAACAGAAGAAACTTCAAAAATGGCCGCATGGCCACGCCTAGAGGTTACAAAAAAGCACCTGTCCACATCAGTTCCCACATGCCCATGTGTGGAATATTTACCAACATTTACCCAAAACAATGTCTGAATGAAAGATAATGTATATAAGTAGTAAATATATATATATACAGTATATATAATATAATATATATATATATATATGTAAGTATGTATAACATAGTTTCCAGCAAGTGGGGGTTCTTGTTTTTTTAATCAAAAAAATCGCCGAGCCGCCGAACTTTGCTCGGCAATTTTTACCGTGACACCGTGACACCGGTGCCGATTTCTAGGGAGTGTTCGTTGGATCCGCCTTTTTTGAATTGCGATCATCCGCTAAGTTGAGATATAAGTGGCTGAATTCTATGGTTTATGGTAGATATAACGAACTAGTTAATGGGGTTTATAAACCAACTTATATATCATATGGCTATGGATCAATACCTATACATACCATTTTGAGTGGGTTATTCACATCCATAAATCCCAGCTATTTTGATGTGAACAGAAGGGGTACAAGGTTTTGACACACACTGCCATATTTATACATGAAACATCATGTACCCTATATAGTTGCATATGATGTCTACTCAAATATATTATACATACAAAATCATTTTTTCTAATTACTATGCATCTCACGATATTAATTGCAAACATGTATTGATACGCACATATGTATATATATAATATACATTGCATTTATATATATATATATCATCATTTATAACCATTCATATTTATTGTAACTATATATATATACTTATTATTTTTTTAAAGTCATATTATATTATGTCCCACTGCTCCGCTGCCACTTTTTTGCCGGATTACCAACCGATTCCGTAGCGTACAGATTTTCACCTTGCAAGACAGCACAAGAAACCTCTTATTTGCTGCTGAATGAAAACAAATAACATCAAATAACTCACATGTTTTTATATATAATCATGTATAACTCATATAGTATATATATATATATATTTATAACTCAAATAACTCATATTTATATATATATAAAATATAACTCATATACGTCAATCTTACATGGATACTTTAATCCTTTAGTCTTTTGGTATCTGGCTGGGAATATCTACCTTCACCAGCAAAGATTTTTTTCATTTTTTTTTTTTGCAGGGTATCTAAGATTGGCAATGTCATATCCCATAGGATCCATGTATGGTATATATATATATATATATATGTATATGCTAACATAAAGAGGGTATATTGATGGGATCCATGTTACCATATATAGCAGCACCATGGATCCGTCATGGGATATAGCAACTTGATATAACGTTTACATAACTATGTCCATGTTACCGCATGTTACCATATATAGCAGCACCATGGATCCGTCATGTTTCACTATGTCATATAGTAACTTAAGATATACCCTCTGGTTTCTACGTTTACATAACGAACTGGACAGATCCACCCATTTTTCATGGGAAAACTCACTATTTCGACTGGGCCCTATGGCCATTTTCAATCGCTACGTGGTGAGGTCGTGGACCTCACCGAGGTCCGGCGGCTCGATCTGACTGGATGAATTTCAGCCATGGGAAAGCCATGGGGTTTTCAGCCATGGGATTTTAGCAGCTGGATACCATGGCGATTTATATGGAAAATCAATGAAAATCACCATTTTTCATGGGTAAATCTTAACTATTTCTATGGCAATTTTATATGGAAAGATCCACCATGCTATGAAAAATGGGTAAATCTTAACTATTTTGACTGGGCCATGGCTTCTATGTCGCGAACTGTTAAATTGTCGGAGGGTAGTATACAGGATGGTTAAAACCGTTGAAGTTACTATGGATGGAAGGTGATGGAAGTAATCCTGTAGCACAAAGGTAGGATGGTTAAAACCGTTGAAACCCTACAGGATGGGGCCCCCGTTCGAGCTCGCGTTCAGTTGCCTAAAAAAAGTGGATTAACTATATGGTTTATGGTAGATATAACGAACTAGTTAATGGGGGTTACAACGGTTTATAAACCAACTTATAACGGGGGGCCCCATCCTGTAGGGATTGAAGCATGATCCATCAAACATGGAAGTCATGGAAGATGTTTCCCTGAATTTTGCGAATAAAACACGGGATTTTCATTGACGTGCTGCACGGGTAGTTAGGTACAAACTATATAATTTGTTGAGATGGGGATATATGCTAATCAGATACCCTCTGGTAAACCTACAAAGAGCTATTGAAAATGGCCCAGTCGAAACAGTGGATTTACCCATGAAAATGGTGGATCTTTCCATAGTTATGTAAACGTTTACCAGAGGGTAAGATGTTCTTTTCTTGCAGGGTTTGGCCATGCAGATATGGCCAAGATGATGATAATCCCTTGCAATACAGTGTTTAACCCGGCATCAATAAACCACCCGGTTGAATTGGGAGGTTACCTTTTAGCAGCAAAAAACATCACTATTCCCGTCGGTACCCCCAAATTGATCATGGTGAAAAAAGGATCTGTGTTTCTTGATACATCTGACGCATTTTCGGATTATCCCGTTCTATTTTAGGACAAAACCACATTGTTTGGACATGTTTGGACTATATGTTATAGATATTGAACTATTGATCAACTTTTTGGTTGGTTGAAAGGTAAAGCCAAGTTACTTCGTACCTGAACAATAAACAGCATGTATTTCAGACGAATTCATTTTGTTGGCCACGTGCAACACGTGCGATAGGGAGCCATTGTGAAGCGGGATTTGGGGATCCACAGCTCCAGATCTAGTTCCAACTCTTGGGGCTTGGTCTTGTGGATGGCTTGGTGTTGTGTCTTTGTACACAGAAAACATGTATTTGACTAGGTATGTAGCATATCTATCTCTGGATGTATATGTATATATATCTATATTATAAATATGCATACATTTGTGTATATATATACATATATGCATGTACGTACGCACATATATAGTATATAATATAATATATATATATATATATATTAGATATATATATATATACATACGGAGTGTGTTACAACATGTATGTAAATGTTTGCTCTTTTCAGAGACTCTTGGACCCTTCCGTTGACCTCCGCATTTTCCCGCACATTTCCGCTGACCAGGAGGACGCTGTAGAAGTGATTGACGAGGTGTGGGGATTGCCAATCCCCTCAAAAAGGTCTCATGGTTACGATAAATATGGTTGGCATTACAAATTGGTTATTTATATAGTGTATACTATATGTTTATAGTATATGTTTAAAGTATATAATTATTACATATGTCACATATGTTCCACATCTTCCTTAGCTTTACTTTGGCAAAGTGGGCTTGATTCTATCCATTTCTCCCTTGGAGTTACCAGTTTTCTCGAGTCCGTTGCTCCTGGTACCGTGAATCTTCACGGTGCAAAAAACCAGGACATTCTGAGCGATTACCCATACAATCATGCCACACTACAAAGTGCAAGCTATGCATTTTTGACCTACTCGGAAAACTATCTGAAAATCTTTGGAAGCGAAGCTGCCCATCCCCAATTTTGTGCTTCGTTCCATCACTTTTCGATGGCTCAATCCCAAGAACCCTGCAGGCAGCACCAGCGAAGGCAAATGGCGGCTCATCACCGCGAAATGAAGCACCCGTGGAGGCTCATGGTTTCCTTCAAGTCCTCCTTGGAAGATGAACATTCACAAGGGGAACTGGCTGTTCCCTGGGATATCCAATCAGCTGGTGGTTTGGTTCCCTGGTTTGACTTTGGCCTCGTTTAGCGGAAGTATGCTGAAGTAGTCTTTAGTCATCTGATCTGGGCTGGCTAGACATGACATCCAAAGAATGGCAATTCAGAGGCCGGTCCTTTGGGATAGACAGGCTACACAGGCATCACGGGTTGATATTGGTGCAAGTTTGAACCTTTGGCGGAACATTGTGGCTAGATTCCATGAAAAATCGGCCTGGGTGTTTGACGTTTGACTTACATGATGTATATGATGTGCGGGAATGGCAAAGTAACACCAAATTGAAGTCTCCAGACAGATACAAAACCGTCCATCTGGTGGGTACATCAGTGTTATTAACATAACAATATATAATATATAGCTAATGTTATAGCATGTTATAGCCACCCCAAGAAAGATGGAGCAGTAAATTTCCCACTAGCATAGCGTGGACATGCGTGGACCAATGTTAAACAGCTTTTCTATGTTTTTTCTATGTCTTTTGGGGTTATTGCTGTAGTTATTCTCTATGTTTTGAGTCATGCATCTCGGTTTTTGTTTCGTGTTTCGGTTACTTTTCATGTGAATCTCTGCCTGGTTGATGGCTCAAAGGCTCAATGCCAATGAAAGATCCTCCCTGCACAGAACGAAAATCCTGCGTTGCCCCAGGCAAAGGCAGCAGCAGTGAATGCAGCAAAGGGTGGCTCATCACCGCCGGAAAAGGAAGCACCCATGGAGGCAGCAAATGTCGAAGCCAGTTGCTTTAGCAGGTAGGATCAAACCTACTTAGGTCATAGAATTTGGTCATGTTTGGTTTATTTGTTTATTAGACTTATATTTAATTCCTCTTGGAAGGTGAAATGAACCTTGACAAGGAAAAAAACGTTCCGCTGGTCTTGGGGTGCAATGCTAGCAGGGGAGGGCCCATTCTTATCTATTAAGCATGGAAATCCAAATTGGTAGGGTTTGGTGATGTTTGGTGGGTGTTTGGTGGCTCCCTGCTTTGACTTTGGCCTCGTTTAGCGGAAGTATGCTGAAGTAGTCTTTAGTCATCTGATCTGGGCTGGCTAGACATGACATCCAAAGAATGGCAATTCAGAGGCCGGTCCTTTGGGATAGACAGGCTACACAGGCATCACTGGTTGATATTGGTACAAGTTTGAACCTTTGGCGGAACATTGTGGCTAGATTCCATGAAAAATCGGCCTGGGTGTTTGACGTTTGACTTACATGATGTATATGATGTGCGGGAATGGTAAAGTAACACCAAATTGGTTGCCTTCAAGCAAGTCTCCAGACAGATGCAAAACCGTCCATCTGGTGGGTACATCAGTGTTATTAACATAACAATATATAATATATAGCTAATGTTATAGCATGTTACAGCCACCCCAAGAAAGATGGAGCAGTAAATTCCCACTAGCATAGCGTGGACATGCGTGGACCAATGTTAAACAGCTTTTCTATGTTTTTCTATGTCTTTTGGGGTTATTGCTGTAGTTATTCTCTATGTTTTGAGTCATGCATCTCGGTTTTTGTTTCGTGTTTCGGTTACTTTTCATGTGAATCTCTGCCTGGTTGATGGCTCAAAGGCTCAATGCCAATGAAAGATCCTCCCTGCACAGAATGAAAATCCTGCGTTGCCCCAGGCAAAGGCAGCAGCAGTGAAGGCAGCAAAGGGTGGCTCATCACCGCCGGAAAAGGAAGCACCCATGGAGGCAGCAAATGTTGAAGCCAGTTGCTTAAGCAGGTAGGATCAAACCTACTTAGGTCATAGCATTTGGTCATGTTTGGTTTATTTATTTATTTAACTTATATTTAATTCCTCTTGGAAGGTGAAATGAACCTTGACAAGGAAAAAAACGTTCCGCTGGTCTTGGGGTGCAATGCTAGCAGGGGAGGGCCCATTCTTATCTATTAAGCATGGAAATCCAAATTGGTAGGGTTTGGTGATGTTTGGTGGGTGTTTGGTGGCTCCCTGCTTTGACTTTGGCCTCGTTTAGCGGAAGTATGCTGAAGTAGTCTTTAGTCATCTGATCTGGGCTGGCTAGACATGACATCCAAAGAATGGCAATGAGGCCGGTCCTTTGGGATAGACAGGCTACACAGGCATCACTGGTTGATATTGGTGCAAGTTTGAACCTTTGGCGGAACATTGTGGCTAGATTTCATGGAAAAACGTCCTGGGTGTTTGACGTTTGACTTACATGATGTATATGATGTGCGGGAATGGTAAAGTAACACCAAATTGGTTGCCTTCAAGCAAGTCTCCAGACAGATGCAAAACCGTCCATCTGGTGGGTACATCAGTGTTATTAACATAACAATATATAGCTAAATGTTATAGCATGTTTTAGCCACCCCAAGAAAGATGGAGCAGTAAATTCCCACTAGCATAGCGTGGACATGCGTGGACCAATGTTAAACAGCTGTTCTATGTTTTTTCTATGTCTTTTGGGGTTATTGCTGTAGTTATTCTCTATGTTTTGAGTCATGCATCTCGGTTTTTGTTTCGTGTTTCGGTTACTTTTCATGTGAATCTCTGCCTGGTTGATGGCTCAAAGGCTCAATGCCAATGAAAGATCCTCCCTGCACAGAACGAAAATCCTGCGTTGCCCCAGGCAAAGGCAGCAGCAGTGAATGCAGCAAAGGGTGGCTCATCACCGCCGGAAAAGGAAGCACCCATGGAGGCAGCAAATGTCGAAGCCAGTTGCTTTAGCAGGTAGGATCAAACCTACTTAGGTCATAGAATTTGGTCATGTTTGGTTTATTTGTTTATTAGACTTATATTTAATTCCTCTTGGAAGGTGAAATGAACCTTGACAAGGAAAAAAACGTTCCGCTGGTCTTGGGGTGCAATGCTAGCAGGGGAGGGCCCATTCTTATCTATTAAGCATGGAAATCCAAATTGGTAGGGTTTGGTGATGTTTGGTGGGTGTTTGGTGGCTCCCTGCTTTGACTTTGGCCTCGTTTAGCGGAAGTATGCTGAAGTAGTCTTTAGTCATCTGATCTGGGCTGGCTAGACATGACATCCAAAGAATGGCAATTCAGAGGCCGGTCCTTTGGGATAGACAGGCTACACAGGCATCACGGGTTGATATTGGTACAAGTTTGAACCTTTGGCGGAACATTGTGGCTAGATTTCATGGAAAAACGGCCTGGGTGTTTGACGTTTGACTTACATGATGTATATGATGTGCGGGAATGGTAAAGTAACACCAAATTGGTTGCCTTCAAGCAAGTCTCCAGACAGATGCAAAACACTTCCTCTGGTGGGTACATCGTGTTATTAACAACAAGATATAGATAAGCTAATGTTATTAGCCACCCCAAGAAAATTGGGCAGTAAATCCCACTAGATGGTGGACATGCGTGGAACCACTGTAAACAGCTTTTTCTATGTGTTTTTATGTCTTTGGGGTTACTTACTGTAGTTATTCTCTAGGTTTTTGAGGTCATGGCATCTGGTTTTTGTTTTCGTGTTCGGTTACTTTTCATGTGAATATGGCCTGGTTGATTGTAAAAGGCTCAATGCCAATGAAAGATCCTCCCTGCACAGAACGAAAATCCTGCGTTGCCCCAGGCAAAGGCAGCAGCAGTGAATGCAGCAAAGGGTGGCTCATCACCGCCGGAAAAGGAAGCACCCATGGAGGC